CTCGCGCACCAGGAAACAAAGAGGCAAGAAAATGTCTCTTGCCTCTTCGGCAGCTCCAGACTTTTCCCGGACGCCCTCCCAGCTAGCCATGGCGCACTAACCCCTGCAGGCTGTGTTCACGCTGCCAACCCCAGTCCTCTCCCGGCGCTCCGACCGAAGCCCGAGCCTCAGCTCCCAGCCCCGCCTGCCCCGGCGGGTGAGCAGACAAGCCTCTCGGACTGGTGAGTGCCGGTCGGCCCCGATCCTCTGTGCGGGAATCTCCCCGCTTTGCCCTCCGCACCCCCGTGGCTGTGCTCTCCGCCGCGGCCCCGAAGCTCCCCCTCCGCCACCTGCAGTCTCCGCCCGTGGAGGGGCTCCTAGTGTGTGGAGACCTTTCCTCCTTCACGGCTCCCTCCCACTGGTGCAGGTCCCGTCCCTATTCTTTTGTCTTTGTTTATGCTTTTTTATTTTGCGCTCCCCAGGTACGTGGGGGGGGGGGGTTTCTTGCCTTTTGGGAGGTCTGAGGTCTCCTGCCAGCGTTCAGTAGGTGTTCTGTAGGAGTTGTTCCACGTGTAGATGTATTTCTGGTGTATCTGTGGGGAGGAAGGTGATCTCCGCGTCTTACTCTTCCGCCATCTTCCCGGAAGCTCTCAAAAGACCGTGATTATTATCTATCGTTCTAAGGTCTGTTAACCTTCTAAAAAGATAGGCTATATACATTTGCACTAAGGGAGGAAAACAAATATCATCAGCAAATACTTTAAGCCTCATTATTGAAAAAGCCTGATACACATGTGCACACATGTGTCTCCTAGATGACTGCAGTTTATTTTGCAATCATTCCTTGCACTAACATCCACTTTGAGTCCGTTTCTCCCACGAGTTTGTAAGCTCCATGACTCCAAGAGACTGGAGACCAGGGTCTGTTTTTGTTCAGAAGTGTAGTCTTCCAGTAACAATAATTCTCACAAAGAAACAAAGAGCACCAGGAAGAGTAGCTACGTAGGTAAATATGTATAAAAGACAGCATAAGTTTATCCTTGTTAGTAACTTTTCCTTCTATGTGATTTAAAAGATAGCTGCATAAAGCAATAATTATGAAACTGTTCATGGGCTTATAACTCATAAAGATGTATAGTTGTAGGACAATAATAACATAAAAGAAGAGGAAAAGGAGTGATACTGAAATAGAAAAAAAAAATTGTAGAAAATAAATAAATAAAATACAATAAATCCTTAAAAAAAAAAAGTGTAGTCTTCATGCCCTGAATATCAACTGATACAGTGTAGATGCTCAGCAAACATTTTTTAAATGAATGACTGCCTGAATGCATCTTACTAACCTGCAGTTTCTAGTATCATCCTTTTTTCCTCTTTTGTTTGTTTGAAAAATACTGTGTTTAATATTTTCTGATTGTCAGCCTCTGACACACAGTTACTCTGGTCTTCCTGTATCTTGGCTTGGTTTCCATGCTCCCCGTTCACTTGTTACCTCCTTTTCTTATGAGTCCACATGATACATAACACTTAAGGACTTTTAATTTAGTAGAACACAGACACAGGGGATTTCTTTCATTGTTACTTAATGTGAGGTATTATGGACAGAGGCAAAATGTTTTATAATGATATGATAAATTGTCATATATATTACAATTTCCTATCTTTGGAGCTAAAGCATAGAATCATTTTTTTTTAATTCTATGATACCAAACCAAGATTTGATGCAGAAAATACATTTTCTTATACTAGTTTATACACCATTCATGTCAGATCCATATCAGATCATATCTTTCACTTAGTAGATTAAAATGGAAAAAGCAGCCTAGAATGATAGACTCAATCTCTAAAATTAGAATAACAGTTGATGAGACTACCAATGAGCCATTGCGTAAGAGCATTTTTAATAGAAATTAGAAAAACACAGCCAATTTTATGGAGATTAAGTTTTACTAAGGATATCTTCTTATAACTGACAATACACATTTATATAAATTGGAAATCTAGTCTTCTAGCTTATGATTTTTAAAAGCAAGGATGTCAATGTGACAACTTTCACACGTAATAATTCTTTCCAATAAAATTTTTATTTTGGAATAATTTTAAATTCACAGGAAAGTTACAAAGATAAAACAGGGAATTCCCATATACTTCTGACACAGTTTCCTCTAATGCTAACTTCTAATATTACAGTGGAACATTTTTTTAAAACTAAGAAGCCAACGTTGGTACATTACTATTAACTAAACTCCATATTTCATTGGATTTCACTAGTTTTTCCATTAATGTCAACATAAGTATTTTTAAAATAGCAGAAAAGGGGGATTTAATTTTACAGTGGTAGTTTATGAACCATCAGAGTAATAGTCTTGAGAAATTTCTTGTCTATCAATATATCACCTCTATAAAGATTTTTTTCTTCACTAAATGATGCATGTGAAAATAAGTGACAATGAAAATAGTGACCAGGTACTTCAAGCATTTTAAGGCATTCAATTGAATAACCGAATTTCTGAAATGTAAATAAAAGTCACATTAAGATAAAATGTTAAACCTAAATGTCCATAGACAGATGAATGAATAAAGAAGATGTGGCATATGTATACAATGGAATATTACTCAGCCATAAAAAGGAACAAAATTGAATTATTTGTAATGAGGTGGATGGACCTAGTATCTGTCATACAGAGTGAAGTAAGTCGGAAAGAGAAAAACAAATACCGTATGCTAACACATATATGTGGAATCTAAAAGACGTACTGATGAACCTAGTGGCAGGGCAGGAATAAAGACGCAAACGTAGAGAACAGACTTGAGAACACAGGTGGGGAAAGGGAAGCTGGGACAAAGTAAGGGAGTAGCATTTACATACATACACTACCAAATGTAAAATGGATAGCTAGTGGGAAGCAGCCACATAGCACAGGGAGCTCAGCTCAATGCTTTGTGACAACCTAGAGGGGTGGGAGGGAGACGCAAGAGGGAGGGGATATGGGGTTATATGTATACATATAGCTGATTCACTTTGTTATACAGCAGAAACTAACACAACGTTGTAAAGCATTTATACTCCAATAAAGATGTAAAAAATAATAAAACTGAATGTCAGCAAAAGAAAAAAGTTAAAAAAGTTAAATTTGCCATTCTCTCTAGCTCTATAGGCATGATAGGATAACTAGAATATATTATTTCAAGATAATTTTGCTAATATTTATATGTCAAAAAGAGCCAGGCTATAAACTGGTTTTTATTATAATTGTGTTTTCCCATCATATGTGTATTTTTCACACTGTAAGATGCTCTTGTTTGATGAGAGAGATGCAGGGTTTAAGGGGAGCAGAATCTCCCGTAAAATAGAATGCTGTTGGTTTTGTTGTGCCTGATGAAGAAGAGAAATGGGTGGTCTGCATTGAATTCAATGGAGGGGAGTTTAATTCGAAAACTCACCTCACTCCCAGTACCAGCTGCGGCCTCTGTACCTTCTTCATTTATTTCCACAAAAGACTTATGGAAAACATTGGACAGAAATAGGTTTCTCTCCATAGACATTCCTGAGAAATCTGCTTTGCTCTGGCTAAAGGCATCACTCATCCCCATACTGCTCAGGGTTGAGTTGAGATCATAAGTCTCTTCCAGCTTGAACTTGGGAAGATGCAGCTGCACGTCACACAACTCCATCATGTCTGCGCTGGTCCACTCACTCAACTTCTCATAGGTGATGGCTTTTTCCAGCTACAGTTTGGAGCCAAGGAAGAAAGAGTCAGTAATTTCAGAGTGGAGTGAGAACTATTCGTTGAGTGAGACCTTTAGATATTATATAAGTGAATTATAGTCACTCCTATTACCAAAGGTAACAAAGCACACACATTTGGAAATTCTTTGTTCATAATGAGATCCTCCACACATCCTTGACATAATCATTTTACAGATTAATAGTTCTCAGGATATAGGTTTTCTAGATTAGACCTTGATCCGAAATGGAAATACTTCTATGATAATATGCAAGACATCAACTACACATGCAAACACATCAATATAAATATACGTTTAGGTGTTGTCAGCACAAAAGCGTATACTCTAGGACATGTTGTAAGCCAGGGCACAAAAAAAAACTTTAGTTTTATTAACATAGTACACAATTCCTTGAAAACAAAATCTGAGATAAAATCTCTATAATAATCACGCCAATATGAAACTAGTAACTATAAACTACGAAACAAAAAGGAAAGAAACACAAAGAAAGGAAAATCCTCCAATCTTAAGAGTAATGACTTTTTTTTTTTCTTAATCTTTTGGCCGCGCTGCTTGGCACGTGGGATCTTAGCTCCCCAGTCAGGGATCAAACCCACGCTGTGCACTGGAAGCGCAGAGTCTTAACCACTGGACCACCAGGGAAGTCCCAAGAGTAATGATATTTTAAATAGTGGTTTTGAGGGTGCTTTTTCTCTTCTTTATATTTAAAATTTTTTAAACAATAAATATATGTTATATACACATATGCATACATATATATGATAAACAATGTTTGATTTTTTAAATAACATGTTTGTTTCAAAGCACATGCTTTTGCTACTTTAAGAATTTTCTAGATCCAAGTATTGCTATCAGTGACATATTTGTAAATTATGTGCAGTAAGTGACAATATCTTCAGGTCAGGAACCTGCACTTTTAAAAAGAAAGGCTTATCTTTTAAGGGTGTAACTCTAATGGTTTAGTATTCACACTTGGTCTTATTTCTACTATCCTCTCCAGTTTCACAAATTTTATGACACTATTTAGAAATCTTTCTACACACTAGTAGGCTGGTGGAAACAAAGAATCTGGCACACGAGAAATTAGGCATAGTGTAAAGAACGACAGAACACTTATTGCATGAGAAGCTAGTGTTCAGTTTAGACATGCGAATTGCTCAGAAATGTGGTCAGACCAAAGTCAGGCTTAAGAGAAGTTTAACAGATGAACAACTTAAATAATACTTGAAGATGCACTGATACAGACTATATCTCCTGAAGAGTGTTAACTTGATAAAAAATGTTTTAAAAAATGTTTTTAAAAAATGTTTTAGGGGCGTCCCTGGTGGCACAGTGGTTGAGAGTCCTCCTACTGATGCAGGGGACACGGGTTCGTGCCCCGGTCCGGGAAGATCCCACATGTCGCGGAGCGGCTGGGCCTGTGAGCCATGGCCGCTGAGCCTGCGCGTCTGGAGCCTGTGCTGCGCAACAGGAGAGGCCACAACAGTGAGAGGCCCGCGTACCGCAAAAAACCAAACAAACAAAAAAGTTTTAGAATCCATTTAATGTTTTTAAACATATGTCTAAGGCTAGATTAATGCAAGTGATTAAAAAATTAATTAGGTAAGTCTTATCGGAAGGAGAAGAAAGACCTATATTAACTGAAAGGTTGTTATGATCAATCCACACAGCTTTGTGAATGACAGTAAATATCTCTATCTGTTGTTTGTGTGGTTGTTTGAGTGACTCCCTTATGCTAAAGGTGTCTATAGATTACTTAACCTTCTTGAGGGATAGTAATATCAACCTGACAAAGTTTTGTAAAGCTTAAATGATGTAAAAATACAGTACCTAGGGCTCAAGGAACGTTGGTTGCCTTCCTCTGCAGAAATTAAAGAACTGGGAGATCATGTCTTTATGTTTTTCCCCGGAGGGATAAACACTAGAGCCCTCTTCGTGTCAGACAGACTGATGTCTTTTTTTAAAGTTTTTCTCCATACAAATAAATGTATATGCAAAACAGACACAGACTCACAGATATAGGAAACAAACTTGTTACCAAAGGGGAGAGGAAAGAAGGTAGGGGTGAATAGGCTGGTCCCTTTACCTGATCCAGCCCACTGATGTCTTCCGGCAGTAGTATGAGTAGGCTGAGGTCACGGCTCTCATAGAAGAGTTGAAGGCCTATGGCTTGTGGCTTTTCTATGTAAAATGCTTGAAGTTTTTCTTTCATGGACATCATTTGCACTGGTTTGCTTGTAGTCTGTAGAATATATGTAGCAAAATCACTGGGGAGGTGTTCCACCAAATCCTTAATTCTTCAGCATCATTGGTTCCCAGTAGTCTGGGACACTGGCAAAGCTAATGATCCTCAGCTAAATGCTGAATAAAATTATTCAAACCTTGTTTTCTGGAAATATGTGTTCTACTGGATAACATCATCGATAAATGATGTGGGAGTTTCTTCCTCTGACACTGGTACAGCATCCTCTATGAATCATGGCAAGCTGGATTCTACCAAACACTTAAAAGAGTCTTGTGCAAACTATGTAAATGCCAATGATTCCGAAACTGAGTAAGGTGCATTTCACACACAAACATTTGTGGGTTTTGTTTTTGTGTGAGGGTATTTTAGTATCATAAAACCGAAGTTCACTAAGAGAATGAAAAGACAAGCAATAAACTAGGAGATAAGAGTTTCAAAACACATAATTGATAAAGTACTGGTATCCAAAATTTGAAAAGAACTCTTAAAACTCAACCATTATAAGGCAAAGAACCCAATTTTAAAAACAGGCGAAAGATCTGAACTGATACCTCACCAAAGGCAGACCTACAGCTTATGAAAAGATGTTCAATCTTATGTCCTTAGGGAATTGCAAATTAAAACAGTGAAGATACCACTACATATCTAATAGAATGGCTAAAAGTTCAAAACACTGATAACATAAACTTCTAGCGAGGGTGGAACTGACATTCTCTGCCAGTGAGAATGCAAAATGGAAGCCACATTGGATGACAGTACGGTGGTTTCTTACAAAGCTAAATACAGTCTTACCATGTGATCCAGCAACTGTGCTCCTGGGTAATTACCAAAATGAGTTAAAAATGTGTCCACACAAAATCTTGCATGCAAATGTTTATAGCAGCTTTAATCATAATTGCTAAAAACTGGAAGCAACCAAAATGCCCTTCAGTAAGGAGAATGGATAAACAAACTGCTACATCCATACAATGGAATAGTATTCTGTAACAAAGTGAAATGATCTATCAAGCCATAAAAAGGCATGGAGGAACTTTAAATACATATCGCTAAGTGGAAGAAGACGGTCTGAAAAGGCTACATACTATGCAATTCTGATTCTATGGCATTCTGAAAAAGGCAAAACTATAGAGACCGTAAAAAGATCAGTGGTTGCCAGGGATTTAGAGGGAGGGATGAATGGAGCACAGGGCATTTTTAGGACAATGAAAGTATTCTGTATGATACTGTAATGGTAGATACATGACGTTATGAATTTTTAGTAAAGCCAATGGTGAAACAAAAGCAAAACCCTGCAATTCAGACATTGTAGACATATGTTATTTATCCACTCTATGTGGAGCTAAATGTCCATCACAAAATCCTACTGTTCTGCTAAGGTAGTGGCCATGTGACCAGGGCTGTTCATTCAGGATACTCTGTGATACAGTGATTGTCTCAAGGATAAGCATATGAATGGCACCAACTGGAGTCCTCTTTGGGAGCATTCTGTTAGAGCCAGCAGCCAAGACTTTGTCTATGTAGTACGGTTGTGAAGCTAGAATATGGGGCTGTCATATTCCCTGGCCATATGGATAAATTCCATCTTTAGTATTAGAGAATGAAGGCAAAAAGGAGGGGTCAGGGGTGGGGCAGAGAAAATGGATTATGTTTGAGATTCAAAGATCCCACTCCCAGACTTCCCAGTTCCTCTTAGTGGCATAAGCTAATGCTAACACAATGCCCATTTTACTGGAGCTAGTTTGGAATGCTTTTCTATCACTTGCATCTGAAAATTCCTGGTGAATATATTAAGCCAAGTAACTATCCAGCACATTTCTAGTTAGCCTATTGGATTATATGTTCAGTTCCTTCCCGTCTTTACCCCACTGATTATCTGAAAACTGCCTATTGCACACAACCATATAGTTACAGCAGTAGGTCCTCAGCAGCACTGTTTATGTGAGGTGATCCACCCCAGGACCAAAAAATGTTAACAATCTTTGGCCAATCGGCTCCTTTCCTAGGAATTTGGAATGAGACCTATCAGACTGGTCTGTAGAATGGAGGAGATGTGGGTAGCCATGTTCTGCCCTTGTGGACTGGGCCGCAGAGGAAGTTAGACTTCAGTCTGAGAGAAGAATAATGGGAGAAACAGTTGGAAAGATAGAGAATGAATCCTGACAACATTTGAATCCTTGTTTCCACTCAAGTCCCAAGACCCAGCCACATTCCAGCCCTTAGGTGTACCTGTCAGCTTCCATTAGTCTCCCTTGTTGCTGAAGTAATAAGAAACAAGTGTGCTGTGTCCTAACACAGAAGGAAACGTTAACAAAAGAAATAAGATTTTAAAATTTTATTTCTTTTTCTTATGGAAGGGTAAGAGTTTGGTACACGGTGGTACTGCCTTAATAGAACAAGAATAGAGCTAGTAAGCGAAGACTTTGGGGTTATGGTCCTGGAAGACTTCTAACTTAAGCATGGCTCTAGTCACTTAACCATGCTGCATTTCTAACCTGGGAAATAAATGTAATAACTACCTTACCTACTCTACCATAGTTGCAGCAAGGACTGAGTAATAAAATATGTGAATAGTCTATTTTCAGAGAAAAAATAATGAAAGGGGAATTTCCAGGTAGGATGGAACTGGGGTTTTTAGCACAGTCATCCCTGCCCTAGTAAGAGCCATAGTTTACAGAAGCATATAGTCAGAGAGAATAAATTTAAAATAGAATTCCCTTTGCAATGCCATGTAAAAATTCATACTGGTTATTAACAGGTTCCTACCTTGTTTATTCTGAAAGGCTTTTCTGTGGTATTTTGAACCAAGAATTGATGTTCCCAGATTCTTTTAAAGTAAAGGGCATTTACCAGAACCATTCTGGTTGCAGAATCCACAGCATTATCAGGTAGGAGATTCAGGATTTTTCCTAAAAGAGCAAAAGGACAGATTTCAAATGATGTAGTTACATCCTGGTGAAACGCCATACATAAAAATGATGATTATGAAATACCGTTAAATGATAACATCTTGTATCCACCAATGATCCAAGCCAGGAAGTTAGTATTAGTAGAATATTATTAACAGATCCTATTTAAATTTCATCTGTTGTTCCAATAAAGTCCCTTTTTTCCTGGACCAGAAATCAATCCAAGAGCTCAAGTTGCATTTAGTTGTCATTTCCTTTCGGTCCCCTTTAGTCTTTTTCTTTCATTCCTCATTCATTCTTTGTCTTTCATGACCTTGATACTTTTGAAAGATATTTGTAGAATGCTCAAGTCTCAGTTCAAGTTTGTCTGATGCTTCCTTAAGATAATATTTAGGTTATAAATTTTTGTGAGAATATTACTTTTGTGGGCTGAATTGTGTCACCCGAAAAGATATGTTAAATCCTAACCTCCAGTCCCTGTGAATGTGATCTTATTTCGAAAGAGTCTTTGCAGATGCAGTCAAGTTAAAATGAAGTTATACTGGGTTAGGGTGGGCTGTAATTCAATGACTGGTATTCTTATAAGAGGAGAGAAATTTGGACACACACAGAGTGTGAAAACATGGAGACATAGGAGAGACAAAGAAGAAAGTTATGTATCAACAGAGGCAGAGATTGGAGAGATGTGTCTACAAGCCAAGGATTGCCAATAACCATCAGCAACTAGGAGACAGGTGTGGAGCGGTTTCTTCCCTGAAGCTTTCCAAGGGAGCAACGCCCTGCTAACACCTTAACTTCACAATTGCAGCTTCCAGAACTATGAGAGAATATATTTCTATTGGTTTAAACCACACAGTTTGTGGTCATTTGTTATGGCAGCCCTAGGATTTATGGCATATTTCTATCATCACAGGAAGATCCGGACAGCTCTGTAATCTAGAGCAGCAGTCCCCAAAGCTTTTGGCACCAAGCACCGGTTTTGTGGAAGACAATTTTTCCACGGACCTGGGCTGGGGGTCGGGGTGTGGGGATGGGCGGGCGGGGATGGCTCAGGCGATAATGCGAGCGACGGGGAGCGATGGGGAGTGGCAGATGAAGCTTCGCTCACCTGCCCGCCGATCATCTCCTGCTGTGCGTGCCGGTTGCTAACAGGCCCAGGCCCGGGGGTTGGGGACCCCTGATCTAGAGAGATGGATCCTGTCATGCTCCTTGAGTGTGTCAGCCTGTGCCAGGGAAGCACGGCAAGGATCCTTATGCAAACCGAGCTTACGCCGTGTCAGACAATGACTCTCCACTCAGCTCAGAAAGGCTTTGCTGGGGCGAAAGATAGCAGATGAGTTGCTCCCCGCCTTCCTGTCTGTAGGGTCCCCACCTGTCTTCCAGAGAACAGAGTGGGCACTGGGTAGGAATTTGAGAGCTGAGATTTAGTTCAGCTCTAGCACTATTTTTTTATTTTTATTTTTTGCGGTACGCGGGCCTCTCACTGTTGCGGCCTCTCCCGTTGCGGAGCGCAGGCTCCGGACGCGCAGGCTCAGCGGCCATGGCTCACAGGCCCAGCCGCTCCGCGGCATGTGGGATCTTCCCGGACCGGGGCACGAACCCGTGTCCCCTGCATCGCAGGCGGACTCCCAACCACTGCGCCACCAGGGAAGCCCTCCAGCACTATTCTTGCGCCTACTTCTGCTACATTGAGTTTGTGTTGTATATTACCACGTGCTTTTGCTTATACAATCACATTTGGTCCTCATGTGAACTGGAACAGTGCAAGTAATTCCTTTCTGTAAATGTTAGCTAATCTGTAGTTCTCAAAACAGACTTACTTTTAGATGAATCCAAATCAGGCATAAGTTAAGGATAATGGTCACTCTTGCCTCACCATGGCTTCTGAGTCACTAGTCCAGTGAAAAAGGAACTGAGAATTTAGGGCTGCCAACTTCCTCAGTTCACTTCAATAAACATTGCTCTGAATAGCCGCCATGAGCAGGGCTGTATGTCTGTTAGTGATTCAAAGCAGAAACTCAAATAAGGTAGTATTACTGTGCCTGGTGCCCTTGAGTTTAGTGGGGGAGGCAGGGACTTCAACAGTTAATTTCAATAACAACGTGGTAAGTGTCAAGGTAAAGGTTCCCACAGGGGGCTTTTGGAGCAACGAAGAAGGCTCTCAGCTCAGCCTGGGAGCCAGGGGAGGACAATTATGCCTGAGGGAACCCCTGAGATGTTATCCAGTGGCCATGAAGGGGCTGGGAGTGGCAGGGGAGGGGACCGTGTTTCGAATTGAAGGGACACATGAGCAAATGCATGGGGTCATGAGGCAACACAGGGAGTTCCAGGGACTCTGTGCCACTTAGAATTCCTGAGTATCAACTTTGAGTCAGAGAATGACAAGAGTTGAAGTGGAGAGACAGACAAGACTTCACGGTCCTGTTGGACCTTCTATGTCAGTTTAGGCAGCTTGAATTCATCCTGTAGGATGTGGGGCACCATGATGGATTTTGAGTTCGTGGTCCACTTGGTCGAATTCACATTTTAGGGAGGTCATTCTGATGGCTGAATGGAGGTTGCATTTGAGGGGAGCAAGATGAGAAAAAGATTATTGCACTAACACAGATAAATGATGACAAAGCCGAGAGCAGAGGAGGAAGAGACTGGAAAGGAAAGATGAACTCAGAAACACGCAGGAGGAGGCAAAGGAAAGGGGAGAATTTAGAGTATCTCTCGGACTTCTGATCTGGGCAGATGTGTGGTAGCCACCCATCCGCCGGGATGGAGAATGAGTGCACAGAGAGGACAAGGTGTGGATAAGCCGTTCTGAATATGACTTCAGTATGTCGAGTTTAAAGTATGTGGGACCCTCTGCAAACATATCTGGCAGGAATATACAAATGAACTCTGAAGTTTGGGGGGAGGGGGATTACCTAAACATTCCATGTTCATTGCTGCAAAGCGAAGGCCTCATCATTAATATTCATTAGCGATTACACCTTTGGTATTTCTTTGTGAGATATAATGGACCATCAACAGACATATCAATTGAAAAGGAAGCGTGGAATATTGAAATGAGTTCAGACTTCAGAACTAAACTGACTTAGATTTCAGTCCTATTTCTGAAGCTTTAAACTATCTGACCTTGGTAACAGTTTCTCTAAAGCCTCAGCTTCCTCATTTCTAAAATAAGGATCATAATAAAAAAAACTGCTAAATCGCCTATGAGAATCACTCTACTATTCCCTTTTTAGAAATAGAATGCTTAACTTTTAGGTAGCATGTGGCTACCCAGCTAAAAACTACATTTTAAAGACCTTTATTACAGCAAGTTTGGGCAACCGACTATCCCGGTTTGCCTAGGACCGAGGCATCTTCAGATACTAAAGCCAGGAAAGTCCCAGGCAAGCTAGGACAAGTTGGTCATAAAATGGGCCATGTATCCAGATTTGGGATATGAGTGGAATGCTGTGTGAAAAGTCTCAGTCCCCTTAAAAGCAAAGAGGCTTTGTTTTCCCTATTTCCTGCTGACTGTAAAACTGACAAATGTTAAGAATCACCTTAGACAAATAGAAAAGCCATGTCTCGAGGATGGCAGAGCTAACCCACTAGTCTGGGTCTCTGGATGCCTTCATGGAACAGAATGCTTATCTACCTTGTGACTATTAGGTCAGAGGTAAACTTCTATCTTATTAAGATATTGTATTTTGGGTCTCTTTGTTACAAGAGCTCAGCCCATACTCTAAGCTAATATATGACCTATTTTGAAAATTACTTAAGGTTATGTAGTACATTTACTGCCACATTTTCATTGTTCATCAGCAGCTATTTTTCTTTAGAAACCACAAGTGCAGCAGTATTCCAAAATTCCTTTTTTTGCATTTTTTCTGCCTTTTATCCCTGGAGTCCTCCTTGGGATTAGTGGAATCTGATCATTTTCTTGTCTGCTTGGTAAAATGGTTGTCTTATCTGTTTTAGATAAGATTTATTGCAAAAGCTATAAATCAAAAATTATGGGCATGAATAAAATAAATGTTTTGAATATTTAGAATGTGTCCACAGTTCTATTTAAGAAATGCCTGTACTTATACATAACACAAATTCAAAATAATAAAGCGATACTTGGAGAAAGCACACTGCTGAGTACCTTGGAGAAGGCTTACCTTCAGTCTGGCTTTCAACCCAAGAGTTGATCTCCTTTCTGATTTGGTCAGAAGCTTCCATAAAGTTCACAGACTGTGGCTCTGAGCCAAAGTATGTTTTCATGTCTTGTAAATATTTCTGGAAGATATAGGTAAAATCTCCTTTTGTAGAATTTTTCCAGAATCATAAAGAAGTCTATTTAGATTATCCAAAAAAAAAAAAAAAACCCAGCTAGATGGACAATTGCTAACTGCCACCCCATTGCTCCCCTCAATCTTTCCACACTCCAGCTTTGGTTAAAAACTAAACACCGCCCTGTGTAAACTTATCTGGGCACGGACTAGCCATGCAGAGCTGCAGGTATGGAAGGAAGGCCAGTCTCCCACAGCTCTGGAGCCTCCACATCTTCGTCTGTTTTATTCGTCCTTGGGGAATGGGGCTGGGATGAAAAGGAGGACCATTCTAGGAATCCCAGGAGCTACTCCAGCCAAGCAGTACTGGGCTTTCTGTGGTAGAGATGGAGCCAGATTGAGAACCCTGGGTCTGGCAGCTGCCGTCTATGGACTCTAAACACCCAAGAGCCTGGGGAGGGCTTCTGAGGGAAACTATGGGCTGCCATGGAAACCGATTTCCAAGGCCGGTCAAAGGTTTCGTCAGGTACTCTAAGGGAAAAAGCAGGCTTCTTCCTTCGGGCTGTTGATGCTACCCTCAGTGGCCATCATCCTAAGTGGGTTATAACCAAGGTTGCTGCTTAGGAGGGCACCTGCCTTGAAACATAATTTATTCCCCAGGACAGCTGTGGCATTCCTTCAGTTTATTACTTTATGGAGGAATTGTGTGCAGTTAAAAAGTGTTGAGTTAATTCAGCTTCCAGGCAGTGGTTTGGAGATTATGAATTCTACGTTCTGTACAATTTATAATCCAGTAAAAAGAAAACGTAAACATTTTCGAGGTACCTATTCCTTGTTTTGACTCGTGGGTTCTGATCAACCTCTCTGTGCACAGCTAGGGCTTGTGGATATTTTAAAAGACGTACCATTTTGTATCTCTGTGTGCTTCTTTTTACCAAGTGCCCACCCAGCTCAATCATCTCTCCTACTTATGAATCAAACCTGAGTGCATGAGACAACCAGTAATAAAAATGTCTTTAAGACTTCACTTGGCTGCTTTTTTGCCTTTAGTAATAGCAAAGCCCACATTTCTACGAGCCTTCATGGGTTGCTCCTGGGCTGTACCCCTTTATTCTGGGCATAAAGATCTGATCACCAGATTTGGTTTGAAATATGTTATTGGTTTCCTTTACAACTTGACACATTGGTCAGGCTAAATGATTGTTTATCAGAAATGCTGACCACATGCTCCATATACATTAAGATTGTCCCTGGGATCCCTGGAGAAAAGTACAAAGAGTTTATTGATTGATCTAATGTGACTCTTCCCCATCAGCTTGAAGTAAGATGTTTGCACTTACATTGTGAAATGGATACGTTTTCTCCCCATAGATCCTGTTGGCTGTTTTAAGTATGCAAGCATTGCTGAGATTGTTGATTTCTGAGATAAGTGTCTGGAAATTAGAGCGTATTTCTTCATCCTTGCCTACGTTGAATTCATTTAAAAGAAAATAAATTGGTCAAATAAAAATGTTGAACAAGAACTAAGTGTATACGAACAACTTATAGTAAATGAAATGATTTAAAGTTTACGAACAAAGGCCGAAATCGATTGTATGGTAGATAAAAAAATGTTCTCTTTAGTATTATTAGTGCAGGAATGTAATAGCTGTTGGGACATCATTTTCTTCACACTTAGTTTGCAGAAGTAAGAACAATGTTGAAAGAGTTTGCAGAAGTAAGAACAATGTTGAAAGTAGTTTTGAAGGGGAAGGAAAGGAAGAGATAAGGGAAAAGAATATTACCCTTCCAAAAAGTGTAGACATCCTGCACGCTAAAAAATTTCCCAGGCTTCCCTGGTGGCGCAGTGGTTGGGAGTCCGCCTGCCGATGCAGGGGACACGGGTTCATGCCCCGATCCAAGAAGATCCCACATGCCGCGGAGCGGCTGGGCCCGTGAGCCATGGCCGCTGAGCCTGCGCGTCCGGAGCCTGTGCTCCGCAACGGGAGAGGCCACAACAGTGAGAGGCCCGCGTACCGCAAAAAAACAAAACAAAACAAAACAAAAAATGTCCATAATTTTAACATATAGTTTAAAGAAAAGTTACCTATTAAAGGTTGCTTAATTTAGCCACTAACGTGTGCCAAAAGTGCTTTCTCCTTAATTATCAAATAGATATTGAAATATAAGACATACCATTTTCCTTTTCTTTTCAAAACTGTCAGGACAAGATTTGCTGTCCTGGTCTCTGCTAAACTGAAGAACCTGTAATTTCAATAAAAAGGCAATATGTGAATGCACTTTGCAGAGATGTAATCATATGAAATAAACATCAGCAACTACAAGCCATTTGTTCCTATAGATACAAAACATATAATTAATGAACCAAGGGAGGTCTGATTTGACTTAAACGGTGTGTTACCTGACCTAATAAGAGTAAGTCAAGAGCTGCTTTTAAATAAATTTTTAAGTTGAATTTAAGTTGCTAGTCTCTTCATTTTAATACTTTTTATGGGACGTTGAGGATAATGTTGGGAATAGCCTTAGAGGTAAAATTCTCATGTTTTCCAAGTTTCATTTTTATCTATGATTGGTTTGAAAAGAAGCCTAGGTATTCAACTGAGAGCATCACCTAGATCATTTAAGCAAATGCCACCATTGCCCCAGTTATCTGGAAAATTCAGGAATTTTAGTTGTTTTTTCTACTTAAAGCACTTCAGTTTTCACTGCCTACCACCATCTGACATATGGAGATAGAGTCTTTGTCTTCACCCCAGCAATTCATGTGAAAGGTCACAGGAAGGATGTGGACATTGTGTTTCCCCTGAGAAAACAAAGCGATAGTTCCATCTCCTGCATGCATCCTGGACCCAGCTTACAGAAAGGAATGAAGTCTACTTTACCAAAGTTTGTGCTGACACATGGTGACAGACAGGAACCACTTGCCATAGGGAAGAAAAAGGGGAGGTGCCTAAGCAACTCATTAGTCTCAATTGCAAACTGAAGCTGTTACTATTTCAGTGACATTGAAATAAAACAAGGGTAAGCAACACCCAGCAATATATTTATATGGAGTGGAAGCAAATTGACATTTATCTAAGATTAAGTCTATCACATTCATAGTTAAACCTTTTAATAATGAGCCAATTATTAACTAGCTGTGAACCAGGATTTTTCTGTGAACCAAGATTTTGTTGTTGCTATTTTTAAACCACACAATATCTTGTAAATTATGAGCATAAGGGGGATATCCTAGACCCAAACTGGCAGAATATGTATTCTGCCTGTCTCATTCAGAACTGCTGGCTGTGCCCATTTCCATACTTGTCACAGAGGCTAGCCTCTTGGTGGAAATTTTGTCACTTGGCCTTTCAATCATTGTATGATTTAGAGCTGAATTTACTCTCTTCTATTTTTATTTTTACTTAAAACACACACATATATTTATATGTTTACACATGCATAGATACAGATACACATATATATGGCTATTTGATATGTTTTGCTATGTAAGGCTACACACATACACATACACTCGCTATGATTTGAGGATGCTTACATCAAATTGAAAATTGCTTATACAATAATCCTGTTTTGCTATTTAAATGCCCTTAACGGGCTCTTTAGATTCATCTAGACAACCAGGGACCAAACAAAGTAGCAACCAAACAAAGCATAAGGAGCAGGATTCACTTGATTTTTCTATTTTTTTTCTTCAAGAAAATCCTTCTGAGATTAGAAAGATGATGACTAATTCTATTATTTAAAGTATGAGCCATTACTTTCTTGAAATATTTTAATAATCAAAATAAAATTGTTTTTGGTGTTGAACCAAACTCAATAACCTCATCATCTTTCCATTTGATTTTGTCAGAGAACACAGGTTCTTAAACGGTATTCCTAGAAAGAGTTTTCTAATTGATTCACTTTCTCAGATTTCTTTTTATGGTCTAGAAAATTTATTTAAAGTGTGTCTTTTATTTTGGAGGACGTGGTTGTAAAACGTGGGCTATTTGGATTTCAGGAGAGAAGTGAACAAAAGACAAGAAAAGCATTTCATTTTAAGGCAACAGAGGATGGTTGACCTTTCTCACTCACCCGGCACATTTGGGCTGCCGTGGTGCCTTTGGTGCCCAAATACACCATGGCCAAGGAGGTTGAGATGCCCCAGGGAGAAAAAAAGATATTTTTACCCTCAGCAGATTCAGCTAGCTTTTTGCTAAGCTCCAGAGCAAATTGGCTGACAGATTTTACTAGAGAGTCCATTGGGAAAATCTAAGAAAAATAAAGCAGAGTTAGAGAACATGTTAATAATCCTTTCCATTTATTTAACTTTTGTAAATGGATTTGTTGGCTTACATAATTACCTTTTTTAATTACCCTTCATTGAAATGACAGAAGAATGTATTATCCAATCTGATTTTATATATATATATATATATATATATCTGTTTATATATATATATATATATAATATGTATATATACACTCATAAGAGCTGAATGAACTTTAGAAAAATTCCACTCCAACATTATTTTAAATATTTTAAAAATGAAGTCCAGAGAGTTTAAGAGAATTGGCTCAAATTTCAGAGTTAGTTCACATGAGAGAACAATTGGATTCTGGTCAGTTAGCGGCTCCCTGTTGAAAATGCCAGGATATAAATGGCAGAGGAATCAGCCCAGTGCCTCTTATCAACACACCACATGCCTACTGACTTTACCCAGTAAATGAGGAATAATTATACCCCTTTTCAACTTTGTACTTTTTCTCACTTATCTTTCATCCACATTTTTATACTTTTTAACCTTTTTTATTCCTTCACACCCTGATGTATGATATCCTGGTTCCTTTATCCTCCTTTATTCTCTTGAAATCCAATTCTGCTCCAGATCTTCTTTTCCTCTGGAAGCCTTTTCTGAACTTTGGGATTCACAGGAGCATGTCTTCCACCGAAGACCCATAAAATAGCTTTTGCCACCTCCTTGGAGCTTATCATACTGCTAGTTCTCTTTTCATAGATTTATATCTTTTCAACTGTAGGATAATTTCCTTGAGAGCAAAATTTTCTTACTCAGCTTTGCACATCCAATAACACCCACCTCAGGACTTTGCACAAAATGAAAACTTACAAATACTTGTTTATTTCTTTTTTAGAGTGTTTATAGTTTGGGCTCTAGCCACCATTTTTTTTTATCTATTTAAACTTGAAATCTTTCACAGTTTAGTGGAAATGCTCATAGAGAAGTAGAGAACTCAAGACTTGCTTGCCTTTATCCTCACTCACGTGAGACCCTCTGAAACCAATCTTAACGAACAAAGGAACTCAGGCTTTCTCATTTTTAAAAATATTATAATCACCTTCTAAATTTCACGTCTAATTACCCTGATATTTTCATTTAAGTCTTTTTAGACTGGATCTCTATCAAAGAAATAGTGAGTTCAAACTTTTGTCATTTTATAGCCAAATAATTTCTCAAGCTGATTAAATGATTAAAAATAAACCAAATTCCTAAGCCTAGAAACTCCCATTAGTGCCAATGTCATATAGAACTTGGTCTTGCACTGATATTACCTGGCCCTCAGAGGAACCTAGAATGAGAACTTTAGAAAGGTCAGAAGATCTCTCTAGTTCAGTGGTTGAATGAAGGGAGAGGCATGTGTAGGCAAAGTTTTGGTTTCATCATGACTTGGATTAACAGTGATACTGCTGAAATCCCTCCTAGTCATAGGCTTACACTTAACCAAACAGCTTCCCAGCCTCTAAATCATCCCTAGTCATAGCTCCCACCTATTTCAGAAGCTGATGATAATCCTAGGCTAACATTATTTTATTAAAGAAGAAAAGCAAGAACCTCTACTCTTGTAGCAATTCTACACCCTCATAAAATGTTCGAAACTTGTGTATAAGTATTTCCCTTGACAGATCCAATGCTGTCTTGTAAATAACCTCCCTATTTTCTTTACAGCTATATTCATTCAAATGATGCTTTGCTTACTGCCTGTATATTAAGCTTTATCTTTTAAGAACCCGTGAATTCTTTCATATGGAAAATGCTTGGCTCCATGGCCAAAGCATAATCACTATGAAGGGTAAAGAGGAGAAACTACTATTTTAAGGCCGAGGATTTTTATCTTTCTACTTATTATTTATGGTTATTCTCAAGTTTAGTTACTGGTAACAAATCCCTGAAAACAGTAACTCTCTCTAATGAAAAAGCTAATTTCTTGCGGAAAGTTAATATCCAGGTATCTTCCACTTCATTAATTCTCTCATTAATATCATTAATATATCAGGTGTAGCCCAGACCACACAAGAAAAATAATTCCTGCCTTTAAAAAAAAAGTATAGAAGTGCTAAGCCAGCCAGTGCTGGATAAAATTATCCCGGCAGTGAAAAGTGCTTTCTGAAAGATGCAGAATTTGGGGATGAGATTCTACATGAAATAATTTATCCATACAAGGGTTCAACAGTGATCTTTTCAGAAAAGACTATAAATGTCTAGATCAGAAGCCAACTATGCCCTTTTCAGAATGAACGGCTCTTTTGCAATTTTCAGAAGGTATATGGATATATCAGTTTACATACATAAAAATATACATACATATGTAAAATATGTAAAATCTCAATCTATAAAGGGGCTTAGCTAAAGAAATATGAAAATAAGAAAAGGATAGTATCACTCATCAATATGTCTCATCAAAGATACACATACTCTTCGCAAATCAGAGTTGGAAAGAACCTTGGAATCCCTCTAATCAAATTGCTTCATTTTATCTGCTAGGAAACTGAGGCCCAGAGAGGTTAAATGTGCTGCCTAACATGCGCAGCTAACTAACAGCAGAGCTATCGTTGCAGTCTCATTCTCTGGACTCGAAATACAAATGCGTTTGTCATTATATCTTACTGTCTTTAAGGTTTTACGGGGAAAGGGAGGGATTGGGTGACGAAAGAGGATGTACAGGAGGAGGAAGAAAAGAGGGGTGATGATGAGCTGGAGGAGGGAGCAGGAAGGACTCTCTTCCCCTTTTCCATTAGAGGACATCCAAGGCCTCCTGACTTTCCGATGATACTGAAGATATTGCCTACTTGGTGGAGTTGTGCATATCAGAAAATGACCCCCCGAATCCGCAGCACTTCTATATTTACCTAAAGCCACTTCTGAGGGAATTATAGTCTGGGAGGATTTATGATGAGCATGGAGTGTAAGGTCAGGGACTTAGATTATTCCACAAAAGAGAAGAAAGCTAATGGCCCACGGAATGGTAGCCAAGACATGAAGGTGTGCGTGGGCGGGAGGGTAGAGCATCAAATCATTAGTTCCCTACATGAGTGACTAATTCATGTTGCCAAGTCCTCTTCTGAAGGGTTAGAAGGGTTTTGGTTCAATACTTCTGAGAATACCCTATTTCTTTTTACCTGTATTGACAGATACAAAGGTAGCAAATCCAAAAATGTGAATGGAGAAAACTCCATTCATAGTTTCACATTTCACGGTAAAACTACCTTTCTGACATCTTTGGAAGGGAATGCTCTCTCCCGCTTAGCCCTCTTTCTATTACCAACTTTGAATCAGCTCAGGGTTCAGTCTCTCAGACTTGCACAGAATTCCTGGGGGCTGGCCTTCATCTATTATTTCTGTTTTGTGGGAGCCTTGATAAATTGGTCTTTAGCTAGGCACTTCAACAAAGAAAGAAAACATAAACAAACATTTTAAAACAAAGAACTATTTACAATACCTTGTTTTCTTACACGGGAGCAGAATTGGCAACTGGTTCCTTTAGTAAGAGACCGTGGCTGAGTTAAGTGACCTCTAACTGTAGAAATAATTTTTAAAACTTCTAGCACCACCCTTTCCTTAACCCCACCCTCTGATTCACTTTCACAAGCCCATACACTTTTCCTTTCAACTTCATCTTGGCCAGAAGCTCAAATAAAAGGACAGAGAGATAGACAGGGTTTTGCCTGAATTACTTAATTACCCACATTTTCCACGTCTGTCTGCATGTACAGACTGGAATTCTAACAAATTGTAACTCACACTTTCCTGGCTTATGTTCTCTCGAGTCTGCCAACTGGCAGCAATTCGTAGTTTTCCCTGGTAGATTTATTTTTTCAACAACAACAGAAAGTTTTAAATTAGTAGAATAACAATGGGCAAGGAAATGGAGAATATTATTGGTGAACTGTTTACTGTTAAAGTTGCTCGTAAGGTACTCGGTGAAGCATCCAAGAAATGTTTCTGGTCTTCTCATTTGGGTGTTGGTGTAGAACCCCGAGGACAACCCCAACTTGTCCCATGTCCACTGTCCCCACCCCAGGGACATGGGGTCTGGATCAACGTTTTAGACACAGTTACTGGGTCAAATGTTACTTCATCACTTTCTGCTTCTCTTCTGTTTCTCCCTGTGAATGTTCCTCCTTATTTATTAAGAAGGGAAAACTGTCTATAACAGGATGCAGGGCATGGAGGAATGGTGAAGGGGGGTGAAGAGAGAGAGACGGGAATGGAGCACAGTCCAGAAGGGACTGAGGGAAAGGAGAATTATCTTTGTTAATAACGTATTTGTGTGTTTTTTCTTCATGCAGTTTCTGTTTTTCTCTTCATGGGGCACACGTGGTAAAGTGGCTCAGAGTTTAATAGTTGAATGTTGATGTGGAACCCAGAGCAGAATGTTGCTTTGAATTTCACTGGGGGATGCAACTTGTGGCTGCAAATTCCATGGTGCCTGCCTGACATGTGCTGAACAGATGTTATTATCCACAGGATGCCTGCAGACTGTTATTAGCTGAAAGTATCATATGGAGGCTCTAGATAGAGGGGCTGTCCATCTTGACTGCCAGTGGTCCAGAGAGTGACTTGGGCTGCATCACTGCACAGCTCTAGTTATTTATGTTACATTTAATGCATCGATATAGATTCTGGGGAACCAGCCAAGAAATTGTTTCATCTTCTCTGAAGACACAGACTAAGTTTTATTCATGTTTTCCCACAAACCTTCTTCAGAGGGCTTTCCACTTACCTCTTGTTTAAAATCTTTATATACTGATATATTGTTATGTTGATAAAATTTTGGTTTTGCATTATTTTGATGCCTGTTTGGAGGGGGCAGGGAAAG